CTCAGGACCAAGGGGCTTCTGAATGAGGCACACTGACAGAGGAGACCAGACATTGTGAGAACAAGCATCCACTGTAAAGGGGGCAAGAGCCAAGACCAAGATGCATCAGGGCCAAGAATGCACTGAGCCACATCTGTAAAGCACTGTAGGAGTAAAGCACACCCATGCCTCCCATGCCCACTCGCAGCCTGAGACCAATGCAACTCTGCCCGGCACACAGGATGCTCATGGCCAGTTTCTCTGAGTTAGTTACACAGAACAACATCTGCCATTTATACCCTAAGTAATCCCCACTTCTCTTGCCAAGCAACTAATTCAAAGATGCTTGCATCCCATCCCTTGGCTATCTCTCTAACCCTAAAATTCACTAGCACCAATTGCACCCAAAGCGGATACAGAGACCTGTATAGAGGCTTGGTTGTAGCAAACATTATTTCCAAAGACCCATGTGGTATAACTATATCTCCAACCTCAAAGCTGGGACAGTGGCCCTGTTCCAAGGGCAGAAGTTCATGTGCCTAGCAGTTTTCCCTAGATCCAGCTCAGTCAGAGAGAGAACACTCTAGTTCAGGATAGCTTCCGACCACACAGTATGTGCCGTTTCCCTTTTCTTCCTGAAGCATGGTCACACTAAGTCAGAGGCCAGATGAGCGACACACAACTGTTTTGGCATGCTATGGGATGCTGAAACATAATCAAAATGGATCAAATATCAAGCCTTTGCAAAGCACTTTCCATGGGCAGCTTAGACATATCACACCCACCCCGCCCCCAAAGACAACACTGGAGAGAAAATGACACACAGTGGCAGATGCTCAAATGCACAACACAGCCATAGTCCCGCAGGAGGATGTCCCAAGAGGAAGTGAGAATTCACTCAGGCTGTCTAGAGAAAGAACTTCCATGGCATGGCAGCAGTGGGCTCAGACTTGGTCCACGAAATAAGAGGTCAAAGGTCTAGGATACGTGGCATGGTGGGTAGTTAAGTCCCACCCTGGGCTTTGAGGACATGGGGAACAGGTATAGCCCAGAAGACCGGCTGTGAGGTTGAGGACAGTCAAGCAAGCCTTGAGTGTTTGCATTCTCTACTATCCCTAGCAGTCTGTCCGTCAACAACTTTAGAAAATTTTGTCTTCTAGAAACTTACTTCCCTGTAGTAACTCACAGCCCTGGTACCCCAGACAACAGTCTGTCTTTGGTGTTCTCCCTGTGATACCCAGAAGGTTCCTAGAAGGTTTCTTGGGAACATCTTCCCTTAAATTTCCTAACTCAAGTCCCATTTGGGCATCACATTCTTCAAAGTTAAGCACTCAATAAACACCAGTCAAAGCCGGGCGGTAGTGGCGCACACCTTTAATCCCAGTACTCGGGAGGCAGAGGCAGGCGGATCTCTGTGAGTTTGAGGTCAGCCTGGGCTACAGGGGCTAGTTCCAGGGCAGACTCCAAAACTACAGAGAAACCCTGTTTCGAAAAAACAAAAACAAAACTCCAAAAAAACAACAACAACAACAAAAAACCCCACCAGTCAAATAAATACCAGAAAGGGAACCTTCCACCAGGTCCCTGTTAAAGTTCAACTCTAGGAGTATCTGCCAGGTATTCTTCCCTTGATCTTAACTATGAGGTCAGAGCTTGAGATCTTTCCACGTGAATCAACATCCTGTTTATCTTCCATCATGTAATTAATGGCCTCCATCTGTTAACACCCCTTCTTTTTAACCTCCTCCTTAGGATTTAATTAAGGTGGAATCTCTTGGGAGACTCTTTCGTCAGAACCCGGTAGAGGGGATAGAGAGAACACAGAACACTTAATAGATTTTCTTATTTGAATACTCTAATAACATACATGACTAATGTGAATTAGAATTACTCTTTCTAGAAACTTATGACTAAAACACTATCAACCATGGTACCAAGTTTGCATCTGCTCTCTTTTTCTGGAGATAGAGTCCTTGTAGCCTAGGCTAGTCTCAACCAATTATGTAGCTCCCAATTCTTCTGCTTTGCCCCACAATGCTGGAATTACGGCGGTTTTCTGTCATGCCTGGGTACTGTTATACTACTTCTATGTTCTGAATTGTGCTTTTAAACTTTAGAAATCGAATGTAATTTAAGACAAATAAAGCTTAGATTCCTTTCACATTAAGTGTGTGAGTGTTTGCATGAGCATATGTGTGTGCACTACATGTATGCCTGGTACCCAGAAGTTAAAAGAGGGGGTCAGACTCCCTAGAACTGGAGTTAAGATGGCTGTGAGCCACATGAGGTGTTCTGGGAACCCAATCTGGATTCTCTGTAAGAGCAATGAGTGTTCTTAACCACTGGGCCAACTCTGTAGCTCTAAAATAATAAATTAAAAAAAAAATCAACTAAAACATATTCTGATAGAGAATCTCCCATTGCAGTAAAGAAAATACAAACACACATACACACATTTATTTATTTATTTACTTATTTACTTGTTTATTTATTTATTTATTTATTTATGTGTGTGTGTGTGTGTGTGTGTGTGTGTGGGCACACAAGCACCATAATGGTGTATTTATTTAGAGGTCAGAATAGAACTTTAAAAAAAAAATTAATGACTTGCTTTTATGTGCATTGGTGCTTTGCTTGCATATATATCTGTTGGGTGTGTCAGATCTCTTAAAACTGGAGTTACAGACGGTTGTGAGTTGCCGTGTGGGTGCTGGGAATTAAACCCAGGTCCTCTGAAAGATCAGCCAAAGCTTCTAATCACTGAACCATCTTTCCAGCCTTTTTTTTCCTTTTGGTTAACTTGAGACAGTGTCTCTCTGTATAGCCCTGGCTGTCCTAGAACATACTCTGTAGATTAGACTGGACTCAAACACAGAGACCAGCCTGCCTCTGCTTCTCCAGTTCTGGGATGATCATGGTGTGCACCACCACTGCCCAGTTCAAAGTACAACTTTCAAGAGTCAGTTTACTTTCCACCACGTGGATACCAGAGACTCAACTCAAATTGTCGGGCTTGGCAGAAGGTGCCATGTCACCGGCCCAATAAAGAGTAGTTTATAAAGCAATCTTAAGAGTCAGTAAAATGAAGACATCAATTTGACTTTACGCTAAAATGAAACAGCTCTAAAGCCATTGTTCCAGTGCTGAAATTAGGCAGACACTAAAAGCCAATGGATAAGGCTGATTTAAAATCGGATTTAATAGACAAGGCAGGAATACTTGAGTACTAAAGACAAAAATGGTTATAAACACTCACTGTTTGGAAAATCAATAATAAAACATGCACTCTCACTATAAAAAGAAAACCCAGTTAACAAAAGCCTCTTTCTATCCTGGAGACTTTGGTGATTTTCTGGAAGGTCAGTTCTCTAGAAGTAAAAAGATTTGATTAACTCAGAAATGGGGACAGCTGGGAGAAGGGTTGTGAGGGGACTAACACTCTATTATCTCAAACCCTAATTTCTTGGTTATTTTGCAGCAACTCAATTCTTAGACCACACTGAGGAGATGTTCTGTCAGGCCTCTTGAAGAGAAATGGACTCCTAACCTTTCTGGAAAAGCCTCCTGAGCAGCAGCTTCCAGGCTAGTAAGGCACAAAGTCAGGTGCCATCATGTAGACTCAACCAGAAAACTCACAAAGTTAGTATAAGGCTCATAAACTGCCTATGGGAAAAACGGAGAAAACTATTTTTTTTCTAAGTTTCAATACTGCAGAGTTCTGAGATATCAGTTATGCACTATTCCACACAACTCTTGTAATCGAAATACTTTCCATTACCACAGGTATAACAGTATTAGTATTTAATTAAACATAAGATAAACTACAAACTAACCTGGAAAATTCCTACCCTATTGCAAAGAAAGACAGTGGAGAAACCAAATTTGGAAAGCAGATCGAAAAGGATTCTATACCTTGTCTCTCTTAGTCAATTCTAAGATTTTTCTACATCTGGCCCCAAACATGATACACATAATTCATATATTGGAAGTAAAATGACACCTTGGACCATTTTTACTCAGGCGGTACCTTGTAAGAGCTTCAGAGCCCCTTCATATTATGGATGAGAAGGAAAGCATGGAGCACAAACTCTGCAAGTCACTGGGAAAAAGGCAGCCACTGTGTCAACTCCCATGGCCTACGTTAATTTAAACGTCTGGAATGTGAAAAGACCAGATGAATGCAAAGGGTTCTCAGGTTCCAAAGCCAGCAAATAGCTGGGGCGGTGGTGTTCACACACCCTGGGCAAAAGAATCTAGGGAGAAGAAAGAAACTAGAGCCACCGTAAAGCCGGTCCTTCTCGACCGAAGAGCATGAAAGACGAGGCGAGGGAGAGAAGCACTGTTAATCTGAGGGCTGAGGCAGATGGGCACGAGAGTGCCATCCTCTCTCCGGCCCAGGACGCTGGGCTCAGAGTGCCCGCTCCTCTAAGTGCCCTCGGTGTGGGGAGGTGTGTGCCGCGGAAGGCGACGAGGGCGGCCTGCCCCCCGCTGACCCCACGAGGCCCTCACCTTGTCAGAGTCTAGGTCGGGGTCCGCCTGGCACAAGCGGTACAGGAAAGACTTCGGGTCTCGGCACAGCGTCTGCCGGGTGGTGAGGAAGTAGGTGCCGCCGACATTGAGCCGGACCCACTTGGATACGCCATTGGGGCGGTGTGCCAGGGCACCGAGCCCAGCGCTGCAGCGGCGGCACAGGCCACCCCCCAGCCCCGCCCCGAGGCCGCTCGGAGCCGGTGGCAGCAGCTCGCAGTGATTCTCCGCCATGATCCCAACAAGCCCCGCCACAGTGCCCCTTCTCCGGAAGCGTTCTTTAATACAGTCCTCCGAGTCGTCCCGCCCATAGGTCCACCCCAGTAAAGTGCCCGCCCAGGCATGATGTGCAAGACGGAAGTTCCGGCTCGAAAAGCAGGCCGGCGACAACCACTTCCGGTCAGAGCGAGCCTTGAGTTTTCTAAGGGACCCTGGGGTTCGGCACTGGCTCCGCCCCAACGCCAGCCAAAAGAGGAACGAGGACGTCGAACATATACACTCTACATGCTTTTATTACAAGACTACCGAGCATACGAGGGAAATCCATCATCCGGTAATTACATCTAAAGCACAGATATTTGAAAAAAAAAGGAAAAAATTGTTTCATTAAATTATATGATTAAACCATGACCAAATAGAAAATTTATATAATAAAGCCAGGAAAAAGTTGTAAAATATAGTTTACAATAATTATTCACATTCAAGGCTGTACATCAATACATACAACAACGTGGCCCCAAACATGAATTCAATCCAAATAATTCATATATTAGAATTTAAATAACAGACTGAACTAGAGGCCGACAATAGCCAGCAAATAACCTTATATAAGAATAAAAATACAAAAGTGTATATCCTAGTATCATTGCATTATCTGTTTTCATAAGTATTTTTAATTTTTGCTTTGCCTGTACATCACAGTTACAGCTACAGACCAGGTAGAGAATATTACAAATGTTCTAACTGACTGCCACCAACCTGAACGACAGCAGTAGACTACTGATTCATCCTACTGTACGTGGCTATGAAACAGCCGCAGCAGCTCTAAATACTGTAACAGTTTAATTTGCCAATGTCCAATCAAACAATGGTCATAATAGAGGCTTTTACCTGCACAATGACTCACTTGTAGTCACTAACCCAGATGATTAAACTAGGCTGGACGACATGAGGAGGGGGAAATTTGCCTTTTGTAAAACCTTCTGTACAGTTTGAATTCTTCATTCAGATACAGGGAATTTCCAGGTATTCACATTGGTTAATTCATTTGCTTACCACTGCATAGGTGCTTTGACAGAAACAGCTTCCTTCCTAGGCCATTTTTCCACAACCATTCTGACTTATAACCCTTAAGTGTTAGGCCAGATGCCAGTTATCGTCAGAGGCTCTGAGAGTGGTCTCAGTCCCATCTAATATGCCAGGGCCCTTGTCATACATTGTACCTAAGAGGTGCTACCCCCACTGGAGTCAGTTTATGTTGGGTTCTGCAATGAAAAAAAATGGAAAAAGTGTACTGCAACATCTCTAGGTACATGGTATCTTCACCATACTCATGAGTTGCTACAGTCTCCCAAGTCTCAGCTATAAGCACCCCGAGTCTATGGAGCAGTAGGGAGAAGTCTTGAGGCATGAGAAAGCGGGGAGCTGATTTTCACACATCTCAAGCCATACACTCTGGTAGAATCAGGTGCCCAGTAAATCTTTACTTCATGTTTCCAAGTAGAGGCCCCACAAAACAGATACAACCCAATTTGGGTGTGTGGGCTTTATTCAAAGACCATAATTACCTGCGGCACACAGGAAGGTTTACATAAGCATCAGCTGGAATACCCATCCTCTGCAATGAGAAGGTCTGGCCACTGCACTCTCCCGAACTGCCAATGGGTGGGGGTGGGGTGGGGGGTGGAGCAAGGACACTCACAACTGTACGTTTATAAAACCCAATCATCTACATGGTTTTTTTTTTTCAATTAGAGCTTTGCTACTCTGCTTTGCTACTGATCCTAAGATGGCCAAATGCACTCTCTGAGTCTATAAACGTAATTACGAATTACCCATTAAGAATGTGGCAAGGTCAGTTCAACACTTTATCTCTGCTGACTGTGCAGAAGCAGATTCAGTACCATTGTGAACACAAAGTACAGGATTCTGAAAACATCACCAAGCTCTTGGAAGCCATAGCAGCAATGATGGAAGAGAAGTAACATGCATGACCAGATTCTTGCAATGAAAATGAAGAAACTGGGCTTTTGGAAAAATTTGACACAAATGGATCTGCACTAATGACATTTTAGATTAAAAAAAAAGAGCAGTCATAGTCAAACTTTCTTGGGAATACACAGCTTAGCAGGAACTGATGTGATCAAAATCTGTAGGACATGAGGAAGGAGGGTTTATTACTGGAACTCAGAGCATCTAAACAGACCAAAGAGGAGGAACGGCTATGAAATGAACAAATTCTTTGACTCAAAAATACCACTTGCAGGCATATGAGAGAAAAAAATCAGAGTAAAAAATCAAAGACGTAAGTATATTCACCACAGCATTATTTAAATAGCAAAAACAAACAAACAAACAAACAAAAAACCCAAAAGGATCTGAATGTTTTACAACAGGGAGACAGTTGGATAACTTATTAACCAACCATTTGAGTCCACAATTATTAAAAACATGCTTTTGAAGAACTGCTCGTGGTATAGAGAAATGCTAAAGGGAAAAAATGTCAAGAGAAAAGGCTGGATGCAAAATGATGTGTGTCGTATGTTCCCAGTTTGGTTTAAGAAGCAAACAAGGGCTAAGGGTGTAGCTCAGTGGTAGAGGACTTGCTTAGCACTTCTGAGGGCCCTGATTCCATTCCCAGCACTGGGACAACAATGACAACAAGCCGGGCGGTTGTGGCGCACGCCTTTAATCCCAGCACTCGGGAGGCAGAGGCAGGCGGATCTCTGTGAGTTCGAGACCAGCCTGGTCTACAGAGCTAGTTCCAGGACAGGCTCCAAAGCCACAGAAAACCCTGTCTCGAAAAAGCCAAAAAAAAAAAAAAAAAAAAAAAAAAAAAAAAAAAAAAAAAAAAAAAAAAAAAAAAAAAAAAAAAAAAAAACCAACAATAACAACAAGAAAAAGTTGGGGAGGGAAAAGCAGGATCTACATCAAAATGCTCACAGTGGTCTCTGAATAATGGGCCTTTCTTTTTTTCTTTTACTTTCAGAAAACACATTACTTTTAAGAAAGCACACAATCACCTAGGAGTCTGTGCCACACTTGGCTATCTGCAAGGTTACTTCAAGCTTGGATCACAACACTAGGGTTTTTAGCCCAAAGAGCGCTGCAGCAGGTGCAGTTTCTACCAGCCTAACACAAGTCATCTTTCTCAAAGTGGTTTTTTACTGCATCTACTAGGTTAGAGTTTAGCTACATGGATATGTCCACTACCCAGCCGGAGCACAGAAAAACAGGTAGAAATGACTTATTCAAGCTCAACTTCATTTGACACCAAGAAAAGGCATGGCTAGTGGGCAGTGAGGTACAGTCCACTGTGAGAAGCCAGAGGACAGTCTTCAACTTTCTATTCATCCTTACCATTCACATGACTTCTGGAGCTCCTAATGAGACATTTCTTTCTCTCCTTAGATAGATTCACCCATTTGCTTTTATACACATGCACACGCACACACACACAGACAAAATTGTACAAACTGATACCCACATCCTGTCCTACAGTGTAAGGCACCTGCACACTGGGTGACGGCTCTAAGGATGACTAGAAAAAACCGAAAGTGATATAAGCCAGGGTAAGAAAGAATGTACATGGTTCTTAAAGGGAAAAAAAAATCAAGGAAAAGGGGGCAGTAAGGATATAAAGGTGACCTGGGAAGAGCTCAGCTATTGTAGCATAGGGCAGTCATCATGGCCACCCACTACCAGTTCAGCAAAACCCTAATTTTAGAGGTTAGGATGGCACTTGGTAAAGCCCAGGAGGTAGCGTTGCTCTCCAGGGGAGAAAGCAACAGAGGACTCTCCCATAAGCCAGCCAGGTATTCTAACTTAAGCCACGCCTCAGCCCCACATGGTCCCCTGTAGTTAAGTGTCCTCAGAGATGCCTCTCCCTGTATCTACATGCATGTGACAACCAGGAAGCCACTCTTATACGTGCAAACACAGGGCACAGGATACTGAGGGCTAAATAGCCACAAGGCATGAGCAAGAACAGAACTCTAAGGAGGAGACAGCCAAGTTTAGCTAACATGGTTCTTCAAAAACCAGGAAAAAAAAGTGTCTACTTCCACTCACAGGCTGATAGCGTGCTAAGCTATCTGTTCCCTGGGTCCAAGGGGCAGGTGTGGTCCTGACACCTGCTCCTTGGCCACCTAAAGTTCTTATCCTACAATACAGCAAAGTCTGCTCCCATCCAGCACCCCTGCCAAGGCATGATGGTGAGCTTTTCATCTACACTCCACCCAGTTTGAAAGAACCACTCTCATTGTTAAACAGAATCTTTCCCTCTCAGTTTGGGTAACCTGGCCCACAGGTGATCACTGTGGACAGGGGTAATTGCTGTGTGGGCATTTTTGGAGTGCCTTTGTGAAAGTCTACATAAATGGCAAAATTGTTGCTGCCTTCATAACATGGGAGTCAGAGGTGTTCCTGTGAGCAGTCTATGAAGGCAGGTGCCTACTTTTCCCCACTAGAGACCAAGGGTCACCCATTAGGAATATCCTAGTCAGAGAGAGGTACAGCCAAGTCGCTCAGAAGCACTCTGCAAGTGTACTGAAATAGTCCAGGCCATCTGTATTACAAAACAAAAACACTGTCAGCTCAGCATCAGGGTATGCCAGCACAGGCAAGCTCAGGCTTGGGTGGGCTGTTCCTGTGAGCTAGACAGTGGTAACACTCTTTCCAGGCAAGGTCCATGCTTTATGGTACCAAGTGACCAAGCAACATGAAAAGGCTTTCAGATTTTCAACAGAGATATAAAAACTGAGCTAGCTGAGACTGGGCAGGAGATTGGCCGGGATTTTCTCAGTCCCTGTCTCACAGAGCATGTGGCCTACACATGAAACGTATGCAGAAACTCCCAGGAAGGCCTGAACACCACTCCTCCACATGGGAGCTCCAGTCTTGTCCAAGTCAGGGCAGGATTCTGTACCCGATAGTGATCTAGTTGGTGTTATCTAGGTGCTGGTATGACAGCACCCCTGCCGGACACGTGCTTGGTGCCTCATTCCCTGGATGAACTGCTAGGAAGTGGAATGCTAGAGCAGAGCCCAACGAGAGCAGACTGTAGCCACAGCAGCCTGCACACTTCTCACCATCAGCCTGCCTACAGTAGGGCAGGAACCACAGAAATTCTGTCATCAGAAACATACCTGACCACATCTCTAGGGCCATATAAGGGACTCAAGGAAGGAGGTACACACACAAGCTAAGAGCCCTGTACCCACAGTGAGCTGGTGATCAACCCAGCAGAGTAAAGAGGCTCTCTGGTGAAGGAGAGCCAGATACACCCGGTCCCTTAGTTACAGCAGGAGCTGTGTTTATCAGGTGGGGAAGGGTAGAAGCAGGCATGCAGTTCCTGTGGATGCTAGAAGGGACTGGTGATGCCAAATCTGGTCACTGGTCTGGGCAGAAGCTGAGCTACCGTGCAAGGAGCTGGGTCTCCATGGCCACAGCAGCACATGGAAGCCACCACATAGCACAGAGAGCAAGCAAAGCGACCCTGAATTCCTGTTTGTTGGTTATTTGTTTTGTTCTTTGTGTGGCTGGGTTCTTTTTTTCTTTTCTTTTAAATAAAAAAGCTGCAAGGTTTCCACCATCCATGTTCTCCTTGAGATGGCTGGCAGGTGGTCTGGAAGCGTCCTGGGTGGCGGCCGAGCCGCGCTGGGGCAGGTGTCCTGGCAGCGATAGGCAGCCCGGCCGCAGGCCGCGTCACTGCACAGCAGCATCTGGATGGCTCTGGTACCGCTGCCTCCAAACCTCCTGGATCTTTCTGCACCACTTGTGAGCATTCCCGCTTGGATCCATCAGGTAATACGTCCTGTTAGGCTGCAAAGACAGAGCATCTGATGTCCTCCAGGGAGCCCCGTCCCCACCCAGCCTGTCTTGCTGTCAATGCTGTCAGCACGGTTTGAAAGCCTGTGCGCACAGTGGGCTTCTTCTTTCTACAAGTACAGAAACTAAGTACATGGGTGGGTGACCTACCGAAAGCAAAAATCAAAACAGAGTTCTCTCCTAACCCATTTCAGGCCTAAGTTGTTCATACAGGTCTCTGAGACACAGGAAGCTGACATGACCCTAGATACTTCCTTGGCCAAAGCAAGGGACACTTCCAACCGAGATGCAGAAGCTTGTGGTGACACTACAATCAGAGGCCTTATAGGGAGAAACTCACCGTGTGGACAAAAAAAGTTTTAAAATTCTTGGCCTCTGGTCGAAGTTCTTGTGACCATGGAATTTCACCTTTCAAGACTTTGTTGACAGGATCAACATAATATAAATGTGGCCCTTCTGTGAGTAATAACTGCCGTCGTCTTGCAAATAAACCCTGGTACAAATAAATAAACAAACTGATCAAGGCACTGATGAGACTAACTTATAAGTAGTGTAGGGCATAGTGACTGCCAGCTGTCCATTCACCTAAGACACTTCCTCCTCAACCTAAGCCCAGCATCTTACATCAAGAAAAGACAAGTGCGGGTCTCTGCTGTTTAGCTCACAATATGCCCATCGATGGATAGCTTGTAGTCTCCCCTGATCCTTCAGCTTCTCTCAGGCACAGAGTCCACCCTTGGCAGGCCAGGCCTCAGTTCACTTTGACGGAGATTCTCACTTCCAGAGTATACACAGTCAAGAAGGATGCTAGGAAGTCCTTGTTAGCAGAGTCTGATATGTTCTGCACTATCTGTTGTCCATAAAATGTAATAAACAACAAGACAGTGGTGGCCTATACCTTTAATTCCAGGACTCAGGAGACAGAGGCAGGCAGATCTCTGTGAGTTCAAGGCCAGTCTGGTCTACAGAACCAGCTCCAAAACAGCCATGGCAACATAGTGAGACCCTGTCTCAAAAACGAATAAACAAATACGCTTAATAAACAACAACCCCTGTATTTTCAAATCTTCTAATGAAAGACTACTTGCTGAGTTCTCAGAAATGATACATCCTCCTCAATGTGACAGAAACCTTAGCATAGTGAGATGAGCATCGTGTGACCATGAGAAACCATACCCTGTGACTAGAGCGTAAGGCTGGCTTTCCAAACGCCCACACTGCTTCCCTGAGAGCCTGAGTGTTCCCAGTTATAAAATCTAGAGATGATCTCTAAAGATCAGGCCAAAATGCCATATCCAACGAACCATGGCAGGACCCCAGGATGAAGAACTGATCTGATCTGAAGCAATAGGAAGTCACAGGATGAAGAACATCAGGGACTTGACTCACCTTTCGCTTATCCACCGGGCCCATTTTTAATATTAGATTATTTTCTACAAACTGGTGCCTAAAAAAGAAAGAAATAAGAATGAGACAGCAGTTCTCCAAACACTGCCCTTCGGATAAACTCCACAGGGCCTCTATAGACTTTTTATCAGTCAAGTTTGCCCCCCGACTCTACCACAGTTGCAGCCTCTTTTCAGGAGATACTCCAGATGTGTGATGCAATGTGTGCAGATTTTATCTATACATGTGGTCCAGAGTCTACATTGCTAGAGTCATCTGCACAGTAGAGGAAGGCTGGGAGAGAACGCCACAGAAACATCATCCTAATCACCACCCTCATTTTAAAATGCTGCAGTGGGGCTGGGTGGGGTGTGCACAACTGTAATCCTAGCACTTGGGAGACAAAGGCAGGCAGAGGTTTAGATGCCACTGCAAATCAATATTAGAATCCATAAATTACTTCCCAAATCAGGACACCTAACAGTGCCTAGAGTCCAGAGTTCTAGAGAAGCACAAATCCTTAAAAAATAACTTCAGAATTTCTTTTCTGAGGTGAGGTGTATTGCCTAGTGGTATAGGGGTATTTAACATGCACCAGGTGCTAAGGTTTTCAATTCCCAAGATGAGCCAGGCGGTGGTGGCGCACGCCTTTAATCCTAGCACTTTAATCGAGGCAGAGGCAGGCGGATCTCTGTGAGTTCGAGGCCAGCCTGGTCTACAAGAGCTAGTGCCAGGACAGGCTCCAAAGCTACAGAGAAACCCTGTCTCGAAAAAACTTAAAAAAAAAAAAATTCCCAAGATGGTGATGGGGTGGGGTTTCCCCCCCCAATATTTTTACCATATTGAAAAAAAAAATTATTCAAATATGCCAAGAACTTGGTCTGACCAGGGGCCTCAAACCAGACCCATGACTCTTTGCAATAAACACTTGCAAACAGAGATATATGGACCAAGGAATATACAGCATGACTTGCTGGGTCGCTGTATGACTCATGGGGTCACAGTGCAGCTTCCCTGTTGAGACTTTTAATTCCCTCCCCCCCTTTTTAAAAATTTTTTTTTTTAAATCTCATTTTATTTTCTTCATTTTTTTCCTCATATTCTGGGGGAGGGGGTGCAGGGTGGAAGGCAGATGTGAAGGGACAGGGATTGAATAGGATCGAGATACACGATGTGAAAAACAAATAGAATAAATAAAGTTTATTAATTTAAAAAAATGGTCTGAGGTTCTGCAAGTAAAAGCATCTGATGACCAAGTTCAATCCCTGGGAAGCACATGGTAGAAGGAAAAAGCTAACTCCCTTAAGCTACCCTATGACTATTACACGTGTACTACAGCATGAACATTTGGAAGGAGAAAAGTAATTCTTCCAAGTTCCTCTGACATCCATGTGTACAAACAATAAATAGATAATGCTAAAATTTTTTCAAAGATTTATTATTTATACGGTGTTTTGCCTGCATGCCAGAAGAGGGCGCCAGAACTCATTTTAGATGGTTGTGAGCCACCATGTGGGTGCCGGGAATTGAACTCAGGACCTCTGGAAGAACAGCCAGTGTTCTTAACCTCCGAGCCATCTCTCCAGCCCCTAAACAATTTTCTTAAAGAATTTAGCTTGACTTACTACATGAGCAGCATGTATACTTCTGTCTCCTCAGAGTCAAAGATGGTTTAACATCTAATATTGCTTTATTGGGGTTAAAGCTACCTTTAAAATACCTCTCATCGTCCCCCCACCTTTTTTTATGACACTATGACAGAACCCATTGCTTTATGTATCCAGGAAAGCACTCTTCCCACCTGAGCTACAGTTAAGCCCTATGCCCTGTCTAATGCCACTTCTACTATAAATACAAAATACTCATTTTCTATCTGAAAATTGTCTAAGTCAAGCATGTAGACACTCTGAAACCTCCCTGAGGAGCCAGAGCACTTCGAGGCCTCACTACCTGACTCATACAAAACCAACCAGACTGCCCTTCCAACTTGCAACAGGTTAGTTACTGCTTATCAGTCTGCTTTCTTTTCTTTTTTTTAATTTAATTTATTTGTTTATTTATTTATTGATTGATTGATTTTTCGAGATAGGGTTTCTCTGTAGCTTTGAAGCCTGTCCTGGTAGTAGCTCTGGAAGGAGAGTGCCTCCACTGCCCAGCCCAACCTGCTTTCTTTCTCTTTTTTTCTTCCTTTCTTCTTTCTGGTGGTAGTGGAGGTAGAACCTAAGGCAAACATTCTATCACTGAACCATATTCCCAGCTCTGTTTATCTACTTTGAAAAGATTACTTCAAAGACTCATTTGGACTTTATAAAAAAAAATTATAGGCCAGGGTGGTAGGGGCACAAGCCTTTAAATCCCAGAACTCAGAAGGCAGAGGCAGGCAGATCTCTGAGTTTGAGGCCAGCCTGGTCAAAAAAGCAAGTTCCAAGACAGCCATGGCTATTAAAAAGGGAAACCCTGGCCAGGCGATGGTGGCGCACACCTTTAATCCCAGCAGTCGGGAGGTAGAGACAGACAGATCTCTGTGAGTTTAAGGCCAGCCTGGTCTACAAGAGCTAGTGCCAGGACAGGAACCAAAAAAAAAAACAAAAAAAAAAAAAACCCTGTCTCAGGAAAAAAAAAGGGGGGGGGGCCTGTATGTGGTGGTGGATTATGTGCCTGATGTTTTGTCTGCCTGTAAGTCTGTGCCTGCGGAGGCCAGAAGGAGGGCTATAGGAACTGGAGTGGCAGATAATTGTGAATCAAACCCTGGTCCTCTTAATGGCTGAGCCATCTCTTCTTTACCCTATTGACTCTTTACTGCACTGTCAATCCCCACTCCTGGAGAAGCTCCAGGCACACCTTAAGCACCTTTCTCCCTGAAGATTCATAGCTAAAACTACACCTGAAATAGAGCCACAGAACTACCCAGTTCATGGTTTCCCATTCACACATAGCAATGTGGCTCTCCCAAAATAGGCAAATTCTGTCATTGGTGTCAAAGAGATGAAGACACAGAGGCTGAGGGGTTTGTTTCACCCATGGTCAATTCACAATGATAGCAATGCAAAACTCCAAAGCCTGGTTTTCTCCTCTGCTATCTGTACAGACCCCAAGACAATCCCCAGGACCTGAGCCTAAGGCCCCAAAATAGCTTCACTGTTTGTTGGAGAGCACAGTACAGCTGTAGAACTGAGAGTGGCCCCTGACACCTGAGATGTCTCCACAGAGCTGGTTGTACTTGGGTAGGTACACCTGTGGTGCTGGATAGCCAGCACTAATCTATTTCAAATGTCAGCAATCTACCCTTCAGGCCTCATTTTACCTTATTTTACTTTTTATTAGACTTGTTTGTTTTGTGTGTGTGTGTGTGTGCATGACCTGTGTACTTGGTGCCAATGATGGCCAGAAAAGACATGGAATCTCCTGGAATTAGTTATGTATGGTTGTGAACCACCACTTGTTGGAAACTGAACCTGTGTACTCTGCAAGAGCAGCCAGTGCTCTTGGCCACTGCACCATCTCTCCAGCCCAGATATCAACTTTACACTCCACTCCAATGTTCAAGGAAGCCCCATTAGCATTACTCTCTCTCAACTATAGCCTCAATCCACAGTCCAGAAAATTTCAACACCTACTTTCAAGTACTTATCCATCTGCTCTATTTTGCCTGGAACTTTCATAGAGCTGGCTGGCCTCTGCCTTCTATGCGCAGGGATTACAGGCATGTATCACCATTCCCAGCTTCAAATACTTAATTAAAAGTAATAAACTTAGCCGGGCGATGGTGGCGCACGCCTTTAATCCCAGCACTCGGGAGGCAGAGGCAGGTGGATCTCTGTGAGTTCGAGACCAGCCTGGTCTACAGAGCTAGTTCCAGGACAGGCTCCAAAGCCACAGAGAAACCCTGTCTCGAAAAAAAAAAAGTAATAAACTTGGGAGCTGGAGAGATGGCTTAGCAGTTAAAAGCACTGACAGCTCTTCCAGCATTCCTGAATTCAGTTCCCGGCAACCACACAGTGGCTCACAGGTATCTAAAATGGTATCTGATGCCTTCTTCTGGCATCCGTGCAGATAGAGAAACATATACATAAAATAAATAGATCTTTAAAATTTTTACTTTAAAAATAAATAAATAAACCTGAACCAGCCAGATGACTAGGTTATTAAAAGCTACCTCTAAACCTGACTTCCACACATGCTTTGTGGCACTGTACATGCACACACATACATAAAATTTATTAGCATCTATTAGCATACACACATGCATGTACACACATATACTCACATGTGTGTCTACAAATGATCTACTTTATACTGAGTAGTATCCCAAGCCTCCTCCTCCTCCTTTTTTAAACTGACAAAATGTTGAAGCAATTGACTTAGGCATCTGCAATCGTATGATCAGTCTTGTTTCCTGATGGTGGAAGGCACCTGCTTAATGTTTTTTTTTTTTTTAATTTTTTTAGATTTATTTATTTATTATGTATACAACATTCCTTCCATGTATGCCAGCAGGCCAGAAGAGGGCACCAGATCTCATTATAGATGGTTGTGAGCCACCATGTGGTTGCTGGGAATTGAACTCAGGACCTCTGGAGGAGCAGTCAGTGCTCCTAACCTCTAAGCCATCTTTCCAGCCCCTGCTTAATGTTCTTAAAAGGACTGTGCCAGCTAGTGCTTCACTTGTGATCTTCCCAGCTCTTAGACCTTCCACCCCAACATCTTTCCTTCAAGTGATTCTCAGAACTGTTCTCTTCACTGTGAGATGCCTCCTTTGCATATCATAGGGAACAAACTGTCTACAGTGACTCTCTGCTGGACTGGGTAGGTTAATTCTAGTTCAGTGAACTGCCAGCCTAGTTCTATAGTGTTCCTCTGCTATCCATAATCTTCTTATGGTGTTCCTCTGCTATGCTATAACCTCCTTACCAACTGATTCCTCTATGATGGTGGAAGCCAGAAAGAATGACATGGATCTGCAGTTCCTGCAACCATGTCTCCCTCAACTATCTCCAGTTTTTAGTTTATGTGTATGAGTTCTTCACCAGTGGTAGTTAGAATGAAAATGGCCCAATAGGCTCATATATTTGAATAATTAGTCACCAAGGAGTGAAACTGAAAGGACTAATAGGTGTGGCCTTGTTGAAGGAAGTATGTCACTAAAGGTGGGCTTTGAGGTTTCAAAAGCCTATAACTGACCCAGTCTGTCTGTCTCTGCCTGCAGATCAGGATGTAAAGTTCCCAGCTAGTCCCACAAACCTTCATGTAGCCATGCTTCCTCCCCACCATGATGATAATGAACTAAGCCCCTATTAAATGCATTCTCTTATAAAACTAAGATTCCATGGGCTGGAGAGATGGCTCAGAGGTTAAGAGCATTGCCTGCTCTACCAAAGGTCCTGAGTTCAATTCCCAGCAACCACATGGTGGCTCACAACCATCTGTAATGGTGTCTGGTGCCCTCTTCTGGCCTCCAGGCATACACACAGACAGAACACTGTATACATAATAAATTAATAAATAAATATTTAAAAAAAAAACAACTAAGATTCCACCTTATTTTTTCTTTTTTAGATTTATTTTAGTATATGAGCCTGCATGTATATATGTGCAGTACATGCATGCCTGGTGCCTGCAAAGGTAAGAAAAAGAGTACTGGATCTCCTGGAACTGAAGTTATGGATGGTTGTGAGACACCATACGAGTGTTGGGAATTGAGCCTGAGTTCTCTACAGTAGCAACAAGCGTTCTTAACCACTGAGCCATTTCTCCAGGCCCTTTCCAACAAACCTAGGATTCACCAATTTGGCTAGTTTGGCTGGCTAGCAAGCTGTTGATCAGAGATCAGACTATTTCTTCCTCTCCAGCACTGGGAATGCAGATGTGCATTTCCATATCTAATCCTTTATGAGGTTGCTGGGGATTGAACCCAGGTCCTCAAGCTTGCACAACAAGGATTTTACCGACTCAGCCATCTCCACAGACCCTTACACCTTTTTAGACTTAAATGGTGCTGCCGTGGCTAAGAAAAAAAAATATTTTAAGTCAATGATCCATGTTCACATTTGAATTATAAATGTTCATTTACTTTATAAAAGTATTAATATCAAAAGTAGCTATTTTAGATAAAATTTACAGAACTTTACAGTATTTTTTAATATTTTTTAATACTATCACAAAACAGGCCAACAAAATTTATTTGTATTTCTATCTATATAGGCAAATGGTCAGGATTTGAAAGTAATGACTTACTAGATAATTAAAATTATAAAGTAATTATAGCATGTATAACTGAAGATTGCTCATTAAGAATATAGTAGAAATAAAATACATTAATTTCAAAATTTTAAGTCATAATCCTACTACAGAAAATATCATATACATACATTCTATATACTGTCAAGATAATGTCCACCCTCCAGTATGTGGTCACTGAAAAACTCCACTGCATACTAGCAGCAAATAACAGTAAGAAGAGATAAATATTATCTTAGTATTAACATATTAGTTTTGTCATAAAAAAGACAGTAAATCCAATGAAGCTCTCTGCAGAGGCATCATTTTCCACATGATGTGGAATTCCCTTCTGTATGTTATGATATGAATGTTTTATTAACATTGGTTAATAAAGAAGCTGTTTCGGCCAATGGTTTAGTAGAGTAAAGTCAGGTGGGAAATCTGAACAGAGGCATAGAGAGAGAATAGGCAGAGTCAAGGAGACACCATGTAGCTGCTGAAGGAGGCAGACACCATGTAGCTGCTCAGGAAGCAAGAGGTAACAAACCACAAGCCTCATAGTAGAATATAGAATAATAGAAATGGGCTAATATGTGAGAGTTAGCTAGAAATACACTTAAGACATCGGCCAAACAGTGTTCTAATTAATATAGTTTCTGTGTGAAATTCAGGTCTGGGTGGCTGGGAAACGAATGAGCAATCTCTGCTAATACACATAGAGCTGCAATCTTTTTTGTTTATTTGTTTGTTTGTTTTGATTCTGGTTTTCTAGACAGGCTCTCTGTAGCCTTGAAGGTCCTGAGCTAATTGTAGACCAGGCTGGCCTCAAACTCAAGATTTCTCCTGTCTCTGCCTCTGGAGTGCTGGGAATAAAGGGGTTCCCAACTATGGCCTGGCTCTAGACCTGAAATCTTAAGGCTAGAGAATCCCAAACCCAAAAGAAGTGGGCAAGTAATCTTCCTGTTCTGACGAGCACTCACAGCCCCAGGCAGAGAAGAACTCTGAAGAGATGAAACACACACCCCTGAAGACAGAGCTTCTGACTAGGCTCTTAGAGGAAGGGCTTCTGCATGAAACTCTAGAAAGCAGGACAACTGAGGATTCAGCACACACAAGCCTAGGAAGCATACACACAAAGATCCTGTTGGGAACTGTAGCTAGAACTGCTCAAATTGTTTTTATCAAAAATCTCCCTTACATGAAAGAATTGGAAAAAAAATTTACCAGCCACACTTCACATAGGGAATTAATATTTAGAACATATAAAGAAATATAAACACTTAAAAAAACTCAAACTGCCAATCAATAAATAGTTAAGAAACTAAACAGAGAGTTCTCAAAAGAAGAACCACAAATGGCTAGCACATTTTAAAGTGTTCAATATCCTTAGCCACTAGGGAAATGTAAATTAAAACTATTTCATCCCAGTTCAAACAGCCACCAACAAGAAAACAAGCCTGGTATCGCAGCACGTGACTTTAATCCCAGCCCAAGGAGGCAGAGGCAGGAGGATCTCTGTGAGTTCAAGGCCAACCTGGTCTACAGAGGGAGTTCCAGGGCAGCCAGAGCTTCAGAGAGAAACCCTGTCTCGAAATAAAAAAAAAAAAAAAAGAAAGAAAAGAAAAAGGAAAAGAAAAAGAATGCATGTGATGTGAAAGTGGAAAAGAGACTACTGGGGGTAGGAGGTGTACAGGGGTACAAACCTAGGGGTGGCAAGGGAATGGGAGAAAGAATCAGCAAAAACAAAGTACATATGGAAATACCATGATGAAGCCATGTTAATTAAAAAATAAACAAATAAGGAGCTGGAGAGATGGCTCAGCTTTTAAGAGCATTTACAGCTCTTCCAAACGACTTGAGATTAGTTCCCAGCACCTACATTAAGTGACTCACAGCTACCAATCATTCAGCTCTAGGGGACCCAACATCCCTGGCTTCCCCAGGTACCTGCACTCATGTGCACAGACCCACACATACACATAATTAAAAATAATAAAAAGAGAAATAAAAATAAATCAAAAACAAAAATTCTTTTCCATCCCTGATAGTAATACTACCTTAGGGAGCAGGGAGTTAAAGGACAAATTTAAACTCCCAGAATTGTAGATTGTTTCTAGGAGCAGTATCTATATTTAATTTTTCTAGAGAAAATAAGTTTTGATGGCAAGACAGTTTAGTCTTAGCCATCTGCATGTCACTGGAAAAGCTACTTAGGGTTCTTCTCCCTCTTCATAAAGTTGAGTCCTGTGCATTCTCCTTCCTGCCTTAACAAACCCTCAATTTTCCTCCTCCCATTGCACTCAAATAGACCCCTAAGTGTAATGGGAGTAGACATGCTCAAAATATATTAGATCCATGTATAAAATTGTCAAAGAATAAAATTTTAAAGTAAAAGCATAAAAATACTATAAGAAAATAAAGGTAGTCAGGGATATGGCACACATCTTTAATCCTAGCACTTGGGAGGCAGAGGCAAATATATCTGTACTGTATCTGTATCAATTTGAGGCCAGTGTAGTCTATACTGCTAGTTCCAGTCTATATTGCTAGGTAGGACTTTGTCTCAAAAAAAACAAGAACAAAGAGGGTGCAGATGCCAGGTAAAAATACTGAAGCCCTTTCAGGAGACTTGGAAGGAAAACAAGATTAAAACAGGAACAGGTTAGATGGACATCGTAAAAATTTTCAACTATGGGCTGGAGAGATGGCTCAGAGGTTAAGAGAACTGACTATTCTTCCAGAGGTCATGAGTTCAATTCCCAACAACCACATGGTGGCTCACAACCATCTGTGATGAAATCTGGTGCCCTCTTCTGGCCAGCAAGCATACAGACAGACAGAACACTGTATACATAATAAATAAATAAATCCTTAAAAATAAATAAATATTAAAAAAATTTTCATATATCCACCAGCAGACTGAGAGGTAAGCTGAAGAAAATGTTGACAGAGAATGGCTTTCATATATAGTCTTAAAATCAATTTTTAAAAATGTAAAAATATAAGAACACAATGTAATTCAAGTCCCAGCTGCAGAGGTGAGGCAGGACAAGCAACGTGCCCATGTCTGATTACTTTTAGGTAGGGTGCTAATGCCTATAGTTCTTACCAAGGGTTTCCACCGGCTTGCTTTTCCAATAACAACCTTTTTTCATCTTCTGAAAACTGTAAGTCTAGTTCAAAAGAGTTAGTGTCCAAATCATGGATGTACTGCTCTATGTTGCTGCCCGACCTCTGGGGCAGGCTGGTATCCACCGCAGATAGGGAGTGGGAAGAGGAGGAGGATGACACCTGCATGCAGCCAAATTGACTCAGGAGATTGTCATACTGCAAGAAAAAAAGGAAGGAGAGATGTACCTTAATTTGTCTGTAAGGTCAAAGACTCCCTCCCACATTGCCTGGCCCCCACAGCGGCTCACAACCTGGTAAGCTTACACACACTTCAAAGGTGTATATAGACAGATTCTCCTCCAATAGCCATTTGGCCACTGAACCAAGGCAAGGCTGGACCTTCTTGCTACAGGTTCCTCTTCTGACAGAAACAGGGGTCAGAGAGGGGCTACACTGCATCCTTCATCTCCAGGGAGAAGGAACCTGGAACCCTTATCCAGCACAGTACCCCAAGGAAGGAACCTCTACAGCAGCTACCTTCTGGCATGGAACTCAGTGCTTGAGCACACTTCTCTTTTATTCCTGGGATCTTAGTTAGGTTCCAGAGTCACTGCATAGTCTCATTTAACATTTGTTTTTTTTTTTTTTTTAAATATTCTTTAATCTTAGCAATGGTTCTAGAAAAATACAAGCCAGTGTTGACACAGAAAGCAGAACTATTCACAACATGCCATGGGCAGTTCATTCTAGCACACTTCCAGGCAATGACAGGGCCAAAGATCTTTGAGCATAGATAAAGGTAGCTATGGTCACCTTGGGCAGCCAGCACAGGCTTCTTACTCCTGAGTCCTGCCTTCTATACCCTGAGACTCCAGAAAGAGTCCTAGCTACTACTCTACAGAGGTCAGCCCCTCCCGCTGCAGATTCTGTAAGTCCTATGCCCACCTTGCTGTTGCCCAGTGGCACTCTGCAGAATTTATGCTTCCACAGACTCAAGCAGTCACAGCTCCAGATTCACACCCTAGAGTACTGTTTCTACTTCATTCCTAGAGGTTTCCCAGTGAGAGAAATGATGTACCTGCATCAGTTTACAGAAGCTACTACTATACTTCCACTGGGAGGAGGGGTGTCCCCACAAAAACTTTTAAAGCAATTAAAATGACTCCAATTTCTGACATAGAAACTGAAGCTCAGAATCGCATTCCTCTGGCCAACACTGACTTTAAAAGCTTCTCCACATCACTGAGCTGCTCCAGTCATGAAAAAGGAATACTTAAAGAACAGACTTCCTCTGTCCCAGCATTCCCCAGGCCCAGTCTGTCTAAAGGTGAACTTTGACACAGACTGTTCTATGCCTAGATGCTTATGAAGCCCTTAAATCACACTGGAAGAGCTAAGCAGCCACCCAACCAAACCATGTTGCTGCCATTGAGAGAGCAAGATCATACAGGTAGAAGTCAAAGCTTTCCATAAAAAAAAGCCCTGTCGGGGCTAGAGAGCTGGCTCAGAGGTTAAGAGCATTGCCTGCTCTTCCAAAGGTCCTGAGTTCAATTCCCAGCAACCACATCGTGGCTCACAACCATCTGTAACGGGGGCTGATGCCCTCTTCTGGCCTGCAGGCGTACACACAGAAAGAATATTGAACACATAATAATCTGTGAGTCCCAGGCTAGCCTGGTCTACAGAGCTAGTTCTTTGGGGGGAAAAAAAAAACCCACAAAAAAAAAAAGCCCTGTCTTCAACAATGCAGCTAGGGGTACATGCATGTAGAAATACACATGAAATAATGATCCTGACTGCTAAGATTGAAGATAAGGGAGCCTATACAGCTCTTTCGTAGATCAGCTGCCTTTGGCAGTGACAGTAAGGGACTGAGTACATAGGCTGAAGGACTACCTGCCAGTCCTAGTTAACTTCTACAGGAGTAACAGTTTTAGTAAAGAGGACCCCAAGGTTTCCATCAGCACTCTCTATTATGACCCAAAAGGACACAACTCATGAGCATTTAGGAAGCAAGTAGGGCAGGGGGAGGAGCTCCTAGCTCAGGGCCTGAGTATGCTGCAGCAGGCATACGCAGAAACTGGCCAATCAGCAGAGATGCACTTGAGTTCCACTCCCTACATTTTAGGAGAAAATGGAGATATGCCAAACAGCAAGTAAAAGACAGAAAATTCCTTGATCTATAAGAGGCAAAAAAAACAGCAATGGTTTTAGTTTAGCTTTAGAAGACCCTCTTTGTTTGTTTTTTTTTTGTTTGTATGTTTGTTTTGTTCTGAGACAACACCTAACTTTGTAGCCAGACTGACCATGACCTCTCAATCTTGGTATTTATTATTTTATGTATACAGGACTTGTGTGTGTGTGTGTGTGGGCATACATGTGTGTACCTAGTGCTCCCAGAGGCCAGAAAAGGTGTCGGATTGCCTGGGACTAGAATTACAGACAGTTGTGAGCCAATATGTGGGTACTGAGAATCAAACTCACAATCTACACAAGGACAAAAAGTTCTCTTAAGCACTGAGCCATCTCTCCAGCCCCAACTTTCAATCTTCTTGTCTCAGCCTTCTCAATGCTGAGAACGCCCAGCCCTTAACCCCCACAAGCCTGGCTGCTTTGGAAGGCTTTTAGAGAAATGTCAGAATTGCTCAGTCAATTGAATAGAACTCCATGAATGACAACTGGTTAGATAAAATAAGTTAAGAAAACAGAAATCAAATGAGAAAAATTGACTTGAATCAATGACTGTTTAAAATAATTTAAATATGGAGGTCACAATGGGAGCAGAATCTGGGTAAGACTGAAATTGTGGAGGCAAACTATAGTTTCTTATTTCTGTCTCGTTTGTTGGTGTTTCTAATTTTTTCTTGTATAAAAAGTTTTTAAAAATTGTGTCTGTAGTCAATTATTTGGAGGCAAGCTGCTTTAAAGCCAGTAATAGCATAAACCCAAGGCGGTGGTACCCCTGAAACAGAGCAGGTACCTATTGCTGAGCATCAGGCTACTGGGACTGGAGTCTACCCACCCACACCACATCCCTGGAAATTCAAATCAGTAGCATTCTGGGTTCTCTTGAAAAATAATAAGTAGTCCAGAACATTAATATATATATATATATCTCAAAAAGGATCTAAGCCAAAAGTTGTCAATGATAAGCTTCCAGGAAACCCAGTGTCAGGAGGTGAGAGATTAGGGCAAAGCACTAGTCTCTCATCCACAAGTCCAAACCACATCCTGCCTCCTCCCATCCCCATCCCCAAATAGGTAAAAGTTCACCAGCTGAGGAAATAAGAACAGGAATCAGCGCACACAAGGTGTGTTGGTCCTTTACTCATCAGAGCAAAGCATTCCACCACTACCAGGTCCACAGTATTCACTCACACATCTTAACCAGTAGTCACACAAATTACAGTCCCAAGGAATCATATCCACACAGCATGGCAAGCAGAATTCTCTTTGCCTGTACTCCCCATGGGTGCCAGCTTACGTTGCCATAGCAGTCTTCATCATCTTCTGACATGGCTGGCAAGTAAGCTGTAAGTTTTGGAGGTGTCTGCTGGTGCAGATTCTCCCATGTGATGGACTCAAAGAACGGATGAGCTTTGAGAGGCTCGTACCCTTCCATCTCTTCACAGCCTAAACGCTTTGTGGCATCTAAAACCTTAAATGACAACCAAAACATGTCACTGTCAGGTTTGAAATCTAATTATTTGTTTATTTATTTGGTGCAAGTGTTTTCAAGTTCTGAGACCTTCTGGAAAGAGTAGGGACACTGCGGTTCATACCCATGCCTGCCCATGCCATTGTGGAAAAAGCCAAGATTGACCAGGACGTTTACCTCAACCCAAGGCTCTGCCCTTTTCTTCCCACAGGTAAAATAAGTCTCAACCTCACAATAGAGGGCGGCAGCAAGTATGTTTTTAAAGTCTGCAGCTAAAAATGTTATAAGATGGGCTGGAGAGATGGCTCAGTGGTTAAGAGCATTGCCTGCTCTTCCAAAGGTCCTGAGCTCAATTCCCAGCAACCATATGGTGGCTCACAACCATCTGTAAAGAGGTCTGGCGCCCTCTTCTGGCCTTCAGGCATACAGACAGAATATTGTATACATAATAAATAAATAAATATTAAAAAAAAATGTTATAAGATGATGTGAGCTCTGGTAAGCTGACCACACACTGGGGCAGGCTCTACTCCCAAGACTAGTTGGGTAGCACAAACTGGATTTGAAGAAGAAATTCCAAAGCTGGGAAGGTATGGGAGGGTGATAATCGAAGGAACTGGGGAGTGTATATGTTGAAAACACAATGTCTGAAATTCTCAAAGGATAAAAATATTGTTTAAAAAGAGAGACAGACTTGAAAGGCAGCAGCAGGCAGATCTCTGTGAGTTCTAGACCAGCCTCATCTACAGAGTGAGTTCCAGGACTAGCTCCATAGCTACTGAGAAACCCTATCTTGAAAAACAAAAGAGAGAGAGAGAGAGAGACAGAGAGACAGAGACAGAGAAAGAAATGCTCACTATTGAAACCAAAAATGCTGTCAAGTGGGTATGGTAGTCCACACCTTTAATCCCAGCACTTGAGAGGCAGAGACAGGCAGATCTCTGTGAGTTAAGGTCAGCCTGGTCTACAAAGCAAGTATGGGGTGGGGGTGGGGATCTTTCAAAAAATAAAAAAAAAGAACAAAAACAAAAAATGCTAACTAAAAAAAGCGAAGCATGGTAGTGTATAACTATAATCCTGGCACTCAGACTAAGCAAGAAGGCTATTAAGCATTTTAAGACAACTTGGGCTGCACAGAAATACTCTGCCTCAGAGATAAATAAATGTATTCTAATACAAAGAAAAAAATTAACTGAGTGTCTCTAAGAACAAAGAATGAACAATCCGGCTCTCACTGGGTGGAACATCATATCTCTCAAAGGCTGTGGCACAGTCACTCCTATGCCTGCAAGGTTAACTCAAGCCTACTCCCTACTGAGGGCAATGAAAAAAAGCATCCAGAAGGATGGCTGGGAAGAGGCAACCTGGGGCCTATCCCGATTCCCAAAGAATTAGGAAGGAAGGAGGTCAGGATGAAAAGCTCCAAGGCAGAGATTCTGTTTCTAAACATAAAACGGCACATCTTTCTTGGGTAAACCTGTTTCTCTCTGCCTTGTTACCCAGGTTGATCTTTAAAGCCTTCCTGTAGCTTACACTCTAAAGTTAACATGGGCAGATGTCAATGAAGCAGGATTAACAGCCATCTGCCACTGGGATAATCCCAGTCACTCAGTGACAATCACTTAAAATGTGATGTTAATGAACACATGCAAAACAATATAGTAACTTCCTCTCTTATTAAAGTCAAGAATTAGGTATTGGGAAAGTGAAAGAGATTATAATGAGATGAAATGAAAATATTTGACTATCTATAGCACTGTCTACCTTAAGCACATTTTTCAAAAGGATACCCATGAGTGCAACGAAAGTCAGGAGGTAGCAATGATGATTGCTCTCACCACAGAAGATTCAAAATACTTACCAAGAGTTTTTCCACAAGATCTCTTGCCTTAGGAAAGAATTTCTCTGGGAAATCATATTCCAGCTTAATAATCTTCTGAAATATAAGATATTCATTTCTGTGAATTAAAAAAAAAATGTTGCTGTTTGAGCAAGAGTCAAATCTCTAGTACTAGGTGTACTTTTACAGAACAACCCAACATCACCCTCACCTCCCAGGACAGCTCTTACTAAAACCCCCAAGCACCGCATATTTATAAGTTATGGTGGAAGTTTGTCCCCACTGGGTACAACCTTCGTCCAGATTTCCCAGTAGTTGTTGGCAGTGGGGTATGCTGTGATAGGCTCAGAAGTCTGAGATGTACAGAATCCCTCTTACCCGGCTCTGAACGGTGGAAGTCCTGCCACAAGCTGATAGATTATACATCCAAGAGCCCAAAGGTCTGAACTTTAAGGTAGGAAAAATACAAAGAAAAAATGGCATTGGTGTAATTTAAATGACAAATAAGGCTCGTTTTACTGTCTCTGTCTATACCACCCTACCTTCAGCTTCCAATGTACTTCTATCCCTTAAGACCAGGTATGTAGGAAGTTTGAATTTGCTTTTCTGGGCATCTTCTATGGTATTATTCTTGGCAGGAACAACTACCAAATGGTTCAGCTCCCCTGAAGATAACTATTACAAGTTAAAAACTTCTATACATGTCCTTGTCTCACTCTAACACCTAGCTTACTTTTTTTTTTTTTGGTTTTGGTTTTGGTTTTGGTTTTGGTTTTCCGAGACAGGGTTTCTCTGTGGCTTTGGAGCCTGTCCTGGAACTAGCTCTGTAGACCAGGCTGGTCTCGAACTCACAGAGATCCGCCTGCCTCTGCCTCCCTAGTGCTGTGATTAAAGGCGTGCGCCACCATGCCCGGCTAAGCTTACTATTTTCTATTCCTGGTTTTCTTTAGTGCTTTCTCTAGGTAAAATAGGGGGAGAGGAAGAAAAAAAAAAAAAAAACAAGTAGCAAAGTAGCTACAAAGAAGTAGAAGAAGGGCCAGTGTAAGACCAATCCACCTGGACCTCTCAGGTCTCCTCTAGAATGTGGGAACTAAAGCAGTAAGGGCTTGGGTAGTTTCTCCTCTGTGAACTATCTTAGCATTATGTCATTTGCATTTGGCTCTGGAAGCAGCATATCAAGGCGTTCTAAAGTCTCAGATGAGGCAAGTCTTGAAACCCTGAAGCAGGAACTCCAGAGTTCCAGCTGTCTGTTTTATCAGAGTGATGAGAGGGTAAACCTGAGGTCAAGGGCCTATACCATCCCCAGGGTATATATAGGCAAATCAGCACCACCCCTAGAACATGACAGTTCAATAAAGTAAGAAAAGCCTTCTTCTTCAGCAACAATATATACTGAGAAACTGAAAAATAGCACCCATCACTTAGCACTGCTGACATTGGCCAGATCATCTTCACATTAAAGTATGCTAAATGATATCCCTGGCCTTCATCCATTATAAGCCAACACACCCTACCCCAAGCTGCGACAGTTAAAAAGTTAAGGGCTGGAGAGACAGCTCAGTGGTTAAGAGTACTTGCTACTCTTGCAGAAGACCCAGGTTCAGTTCTCAGTACCTGTAATGGCAGCTCACAATTATAATTTCAGTCTTCTCTGGTCTTTTGCAAGCACTGGATACATATATGATAAACATACATACATAGAGGCAAATATTAATACACACTAAAAAAAAACAACAAAGAGGGTCTGGAGAGATGGCTTGGTGGTTAAGAGCACTGCCTGACCTTCTGAAGGTCCTGAGTTCAGTTCCCAGCAACCACATGGTGGCTCACAACCATCTGTAATGAGATCTGGCGCCTTCTTCTGGCCTGCCAGCATACATGCAGACAAAATACCAAGAATACTGTCTACATAATAAATAAATAGATTAAAAAAAAAAAAAAGATCTGACCCAGTACAACTATCTTAGTTGTAGAATTAAGTTAAGAACTCAAATTCTGATGCGATTCTTTGTCTCTTTGGGCACACCTCTAGATTTTCCAAAGCTGTCAGTGCTACCTAACCAGATTCATGCATTCATTTACACAGGTGACCCCTTGCAACCTGTTAGAGTAGAATACCTATGTTCAGAACTCACAAAAGGCCAGACAGCTGGGGCTAAACCAGATACAAAGCAGTTTACCGCAAGACGAGAAGCACCCAGTCATAAGGAACAGACCCTGTCTCCTGAATCTGCTCTCCACACCTCGAATCCACATCCTAATGTGGCTCCTTAGTCACCAAGACAGAGCCTTGAACTGGCATGGCCTTAGGCCACTGACTCCCTCCAGAATGACCCTTCTTTATTTTTAATGTCTGATCTTTAGATAAATAAATAGATAGATGACTATATAAACAAATAAATTAGTAGGTGGATCCCTACCCCTTGGAGCCTGGAGAAATGGCTTAGTGGTTAAGAGCACTGATTTCTTCTAGAGGACCCAGGTTCCATTCCCTGAACCTTACATGGTGGTTTACAACCATCCATAACTCCAGTTTCAAGGTATCTGACATCCTCTTCTAGTCTCCAGGGATACCACACATGCCCACGGTACACAGATATACACATAGGCAAAACCCCACACACATTAAAAACAAGCAAAAAAACAATAAAAAAATTGTTCCAGTGCCAGTCTCTACATCACTCTACATACTCCAAATTTCTGATATGCATGACTGAGGCCTCCAAGAAGATTCAGCTGCATCTCTCAAACAACCTCAAGGCTAACCCATGGCTATAAGCCCTGGGCTCGAAATTTCTTCCTTCAGTCTCTCCAGGGCTTCTATCCACCTCCAAAGAACCCACTGCACTACAATAAGCATAGGCCTGCTGTAATCCTGTGGCATGGCAGCCACACTTACCCACTGCACAGCTTTTCTAAATGAAGCTTCCTACACCAAAATCAACAACCAGCAAGGAATCATCCATTATAAAAACAGAATGCATACATAGCAAATGGCAAATACATGTTTTAAAAAAGCAGAAGACTAACTTCTTTGAGTGTCACTCTGTAGCGCTAGCTGGTCTGGGAACTTGTTATATAGACTAAGACAGCTTTGAGATCCACCTGCCTCTGACCCTGAGCATTAGGATTAAAGGCGTGCACCACCATGCCCAACCATTTTTGTTTGCTTTGAGACAAGGTTTCACCATATCCATCGCTGACTAATCATGATTCTCCTAATTCATCCTTTGGGATTATAAGGGATGTATCACCGTACCAGGCTCATACTTAGCTATTTAAGACCTACTAAAGTCTCTCTTTCACATAGTAATTCCTCATGACTAAACCTAGTAGATATCACAGAGAAAAGGGAAGGGCTAAGTTATATTGAAAACAAGTTACCTCTTACACGCCGACTTCTCTGTGAGCAGCTCTGGAGAAACATACTGTGCTGTTCCTACAAATGAGTTGGCCCTGGCTAAGTATGGGAGGAAAAAAAGAAAAGGTCATACTTGAAAATACAATCCTTGGCCCCCAACCACCCTGGCTCTCCTGTGTATTCTTCAGAGTGTCAATATCTAACTATAGCAGATGGGAGGTGGCTGTCAGCTCAGCTGGTCACCTGGACTAGACTGAGCAACCAAAGGACTACTAAGGATACCTGCTATATTCTATCCACCTGACACCTCCTACTAACAACCAGCTGTAGGAGGTACTCATCACATTCATCCATCGTCTTGCCACTAGAGCAAAGCAATGTAAGGATAGAGGTCCTGTCTGTAGTACTCACTGTTGGGCCTGTAGCATCTAGATACCCACTGAACACACAGCGGGCACAAATAAACAGCTGCAGATCAGAGACCATTTTCTTTTTAGTCACCAGTAGCTTGGGCATTCAAGATAACTAGAGCAAAAAGATGTAGCTTCCAGCCCAGGGACTGTCTACACTCCACTGCTTATAGTCCTAGCCCATGAGACACTCATCTGCAAGCCACAGAGTAGACACCAGACGCTTTGAAGCCACATTAGCGTCCACATCCATTCACTCCAGGCCCCTGAGGAACATAAGAACTCAGCTTCCATGTGGCAGATACAGCAGGGCTACATTTTTATACTTTTTTTGTTTGTTTGTTTTTCAAGACAGGGTTTCTCTGTAGCTTTGGAGCCTGTCCTGGAACTAGCTCTTGTAGACTCGAACTCAGAGATCCGCCTGTCTTTGCCCCCAAGTGCTGGTCCAGGGGGACAGGGACATGGATAGGCACGCCATGCAGACTGAGGTTGGATATTTAGTGGGTTATGGAATGGAAGGGGGAGAAGGAGAAGGAGAGAGAGAGAGAGAGAGAGAGAGAGAGAGAGAGAGAGAGAGAGAGAGAGAGAGTGAGTGGGAGGTGAGGAGAGAGAGAGACCCTCTCCAGAAAGTCCAGATAACAAGGTAGTAATTCTGATTTTCCTCATGGTAGAGCTCCTGCGTGGTACGCATGGAT